CTCTCCCTTGAGAGCATAAACTCTATAACTTTCTGCATACTTTATGTTTGAACCTCCTGAGCCATCATTGACATAAATTTTTATAGGCTTCCACCCTTTGTTCATGTTCCTGCTTCTTCCCTTAGCTCTTTTGTTCAGTAGTTCTACATCTTTATACACAGCTCCTGTCTCAGTGAATTCAACAATATTTTCATTCGTTAGCTTTACATTCAAACCCTTGTCGAGTATATTGTTCATTTCATACATATAAAAGGTTTTTATTCTATATGAAATGAGAAGCAAATCCATCTTAGCTGGTGCCGTTAATGTTCCAATTGAACCAACATCAAATGTTGACTCACGAACGACAAACAATATTGTCATAAAGAACTATAGTTCAGAGTGTTTGAAAGAACCAGAACCAGAGCTGAAATCCGTGAATTTAAACACAGCTTCAAACGCTAACGCTACATCAGATGTTAAGTTAGAGTATCCACCACTGGACCAAATTCTTTCAAGAGAAGCCAACGACAACCCTTACAAATGTTCAAACAAATCCTTCAGATAACGTAGACCATTACCTTCTTCAGTTATACCAAACAATTTTACTCAAAGACGATAAGAAGCTTTTGACAAATCTTATAAGTAAGAACCAAATAATTCTAACAAAGGAGGACCTTGAAAATGTTATATCACGAATAACAGGGAAAGCAATGTGTCATTGACTATCTCGACCCTGAAATCGAATGCTGTGGTCAAACGCCACCATTCATGAAAATAGGTAACATCCGCATCATTGAAACACCAGGAACTACAGGAGTTGAGTTTAAGTATAAATATTCGAATGAATATACAAAACTTTCAACAGAATATAAACTTTGCTTGAAATATGTTTTAGTAAATTAAAGCAATTTGTAATATCTATCCAAAACTTCTTCAACAGTATCGAACTCATCTTCATAATGCAAACCTAATCTTATTGACTTGGTGCAGTTTTCACTAACACAATATAGCGCTTTGCGCTCGGCGCCTTTGACGCCTTTTTCTGTTCTCTTGACTGACATAACTAACTCATTTGTTTCATCAAACAGCAACAACCAAAGTTCATGACCTAATACATAACATTCATACTTTATATTTTTAGCTCTGAGTTCTCTTGTAAGCTGTTGCATTTAATATTTTCTAAAAAGTCAACTTCAACAGTCATTCGCACTGGTGCCTTCAGTTCTACAGGCTCTCCTTGAAAGTCAACAAGTCTGAATTGCATGTCTTTCAAATTATGAGGACTAATGCGAATCCATTTACCTAAATGAGTTGCTATGACAGGAACGTTTGGAATGAACATTGAATTGACTGCATAACAGAAAGATTTATATTCTACTGAACCTTTACTATTAACTCCTGAAATGCCTGTGACATTAGCTATTTTTGACTCAATGTATAAACAATTACCATAACATACGTATGGAACAGATTTCATCTCAATCGTTTTGTCAACACTTTTCAAAGGAAATGTCATATGGTATGCACCCAAAAGAAGTTGAACTCTATGACTCATTCGTGTTATCTTGAACTCTTTCTTGCTACTGAACTTCAATGTTCCCTCAGAAGAGAGTTCGACATCTATGTTGTCAATAGTTTCTTCATTTATGAGAGTACCTATGACTCCAGCAATTTTATCTATTCTATACTCTGCTCTGTTAGGAAATGTTATAAAACTTCTTTTGTCATCTATTTCAAACTCTATGAAATCTGTTTCATCTGTTATGACAAAAGTTGCGATAGTATTGAAGTCAACAACTCTGAAAGCAAGTGCTTCATTCTGAAGACCTAAGTTTGTTTGAAGCTTTACTGTCCGTATTCGTTTGGGTCTGTACTTTGCAAATAGAACAACATTTTATTCTCATTAAAATATGACTATTGCTGCATATGCGTATGAAACAAATGAAGCAAGAAGAGCACATGAACTAGTAAACGAAAACTCAACTTTAACCATTGAAGGCAATGATTTAGTCATTGACGATGGAAAAACTAAAAAAGTCATTGATTTCGATACTTTTAACACTTATGACCCATTCATTACAACAAGCAAGGTTCCTATCATAAATGATGGAACGGTGCAATATATAAATTCTACAGTAGATGCCTCATTAGTGAAAGTATTAAATGTTCTCATTGAATTGTTAAAGAGCTTTCGATTTGACGACAACATTAAATGCCTAAAGAATTTAGTCATGAATGAGAAACAAATTCTTCGGCGTTGCTGGTAGCAGTAATGATGTACACCTTATGACATTAGAATATTATAACGAACATAAAGATGAACTGAAAGGAGAGAAGGGTGACACCGGACCTCAAGGACCACAAGGAATACAAGGAATACAAGGAATACAAGGAATACAAGGACCTCAAGGCGAAAACGGTTTGGATGGAAAGGATGGAAAGGATGGAAAAACTGCTAAATCATGGATATGGGACCTTATAAATACTGGTTTAACAGCTGCTTCATATGGAGTTCTTCAATACCAAATCGGAAAGATATGGGCAGTACTTGGTGAAGAAGCTTTAAATGACGTTAAAAATGCTTTGAACTTCATTTCAAATGGTTCGGATACTATTAAAACTTTATCTGGTTGGATGCAAGAAACAAGGAGTCAAATAGATACTGTAAGACGTATAGCAAACAATGCACGTACGGGATTGGATACTTTACGACAAGCACAAAATACACTAAAGGAAGCAAATGATATTCTTGGCTCAGTATCAGACATGCATGAAGATTGGCTTAAAGGTATTGACAAATCTTTAAAAAATCACAGTCAGTCTATTGCTGACTACAAGAAAAGTATAGATTTTTTACATAGTGCTATGGACGTACATGATGGAAGCATAAGGAACTTACTTAATGCTAACAATAACTTACCAGGAACTATTAAAGCATTTATAAAGTCCTTTGTAAAACCCGGTGCTCTAACATTTAGGTCTTTGAGAGCAAGAGCATTGAAGTCAAGAGATGCAGAAACTCCAACAGAACCTACAGAAGGAACTGAAACAACAGAAACTCCAGAAGAACCACCAAAACCAACAGCTAATGAAATATTGTTCGAATATTTTCCAAGGTACTCTGTTCTCATTGCATACATTCAAGAAATACTTAAGAAAGCAGACTTGACTTTAGGAGATGATGAAAGTTCTGTATATCTTTCGTTCCAGTTTCAAATAGCAGAACTTTTGAGACAGATATGCTTAATGTATGACAACATCTCTGATTTCACAAGATATGATGACGACCATGACCCCGAACACGGTGAAGAAGAAGTTTTACAAACATCCATTAAGACAGGAAAGGTTTTAACACAAAGTCTCATTATTGACACCAAAGATGGGCGAAGTGGACGTTCTTCAAGAGCTGAAGAAAAATACTTCTTCGGGAGGTGGTGGTAGGCATGAACTTGAAATAAATGAGATAGAAGAGAAATTAGCCGAAAAAGCAGATAAAGAACATAAACACAATATCTCCGATATAAATGAACTTCAAGCTACATTAAATAGTAAAGCGGACAAAAATGAACTTGACGCAATGAACAAAGTTTTGAAATCTCATAAACACAATATCTCCGATATAAATGAACTTCAAGCTACATTAAATAGTAAAGCGGACAAGAACCATGTTCATTATATAACTTCAGACGAACAGATTATAACGGACTACCATGGATATTTAACACGAAGTGATGAAGCGAAGACAAAAAATGTTAATGAAAGAAGATATAAATACATTCGTGCTAAAGGTTATGACATAAGCTGTACTGTACAGTATGATGTAGCTAAAGCACCAGAAGCATTTGGTTATACCGGTGAAATTTATGCCTCTACTTTCAATGTTAACGGTGTATTAGTTGAACCAAGATTTACTTTGAGAGTTAAGGCAAAAATAACGTTTGAAGATGCTATTAAAAGTAAAGCTGACAAAGTTGAACTCGAAGCAACGAACAAAGTTTTGAAATCTCATAAACACAACATCTCCGATATAAATGAACTTCAAGCTACATTAGACAGTAAAGCTGACAAGAACCATACACATAAATCCTTCACTACTGTTAGAGCAGACGACATAATATTGAACTTTGACCTTGGTTCAAGTGCACCATTAGAAAATCCAAGTACAAGCGTAAAAGATACTCTTAACAGTTTAGATAAGAGTTGCAGGAACATTGAAAGTCATGCCAGAAACTTTGAAGCACATGAACTACCAACAATGTTAGATAAGAAAGCAGATAAAACTTATGTGGATGCAGAACTAACAAAGAAATTTTCGAAACCAGATACAATGACATTTACAACAGAAATTATAAATGGTGAACCAGCAACTCCATTTGAATTTGTTAGAGGTCTTCAACCAGATACTTTTGAATTTTTCTTGGATAATTCTATTGAACTAACATTACATTATAAAAGTGGAACAAATGCAACATTTCATCCGGGAGATACATTCCAAATGGTATTTAATGACATAAGTTCTTTAGAATATGTTTATAGAGTTATGAGCATATATGATTTAATATATCCTATAGGAGCTGTTTATACGTCTATGAATCCAATAAATCCAAACACTTTATTTGGTGGTAGATGGTATGAAATAGTTGACAGTTTTCCATTCTACACTAATACGCAGTCAATGAAGATGGGAGGTTCAAAGAAAATAGGTATTGAAAACCTTCCTTCACATATGCATAGGTTCAGTGGAAGAACATCTGTGGAAGGAAACCATTCACATTCAATAACAAAAAGAGGTTATACAAATCTTGCAGCGGGTTCGGATAGACAGGGAATGCATAGATATGATATTTCAACTGACCCCAGTAGATTCAAGCACAGGTATTTTCTGTGGAACTGCAGGAAATCATACACATGTTGTAGCTGGTATTACAGACCCAGCAGGTAATGGAAAAGATTATATGCCTCCTTATATAACAATGCACGCTTGGATACGAGTTGGTTAAACTCTTAACTTTACATAAATGAGCTTGAAAGAAGTATTCGAACAACATCCATGGAGGTCATTTAAGAAGTTCAATGAAGCTGCAAAGAGTCGGGGATTTACTAACAGAGCTGAAGTGAAAAGGTTCTTTGACAAAAATGTTGTACATCAAACAAAAATAAACCCTTACGACTACTTTTTACCAATTTACTCCAACACTCCTGACGCATACCAATTTGACACTCTCATTCAAAGCAGAAAAGGAGGACATAAACCATTCCTCATCTTCATAAATGTTAACACTCGTAAAGCATATGCATATCCAATGAAAAATAAAGGAACTCGTGAAGTGTTAAGAGTTTTACAAAAGTTTGTAGCAGAACATAACCCAAGTACTTTAACATCAGACCAAGACAGTGCATACCTCAGCAATGAAATCACAGAATTTCTCATTAAGCATAACATAACTCACTACACTACTGAAGACCATAACCATAACATACTCGGCATCATAAACCGCTTCATAAGGACTCTCAGAGATTTAAACCAAGAGCGAGACTTTACCGAAGAAACAATGAAACATTTTCTCGAAGTATATAATTCCTCAACACATTCTACAACAGGACATACACCAAATTCAATGACACAACAACAAGAAGAAAAGTATATACAAAAGAAACGAAGCCAAACACAAAATATCAGAAATTCAACACAATTTACCCTCATTCCTGGAACAAAAGTTCGTGTAGTTTTGACGACAAACCGTTGACAAAGAAACGTTTAAGGTTAAGTCGAAATTATTATATCGTAGACTCTACGCAAGGTAATGGATATCTTATAAAAGCTGCCGACGACTCTATTGCGTTTTATCCTCGACATAAATTAGTCGAAAGTAGTAATGGCAAACTTGCTGAAACCATTGACGAAGCAAAGCGAGGAGTGGTTATTAAAATACTTGGCTATAACACAAACGATGACACTTATAAAGTAAGATATGAAGGAGGCGTTGAAGATGTTATACCATCTAAGAACTTGAGAGAGTCGAAGCCAACACATCTGGGACCATTAGAGCGGGAGTACTGGAAAGACAAAAATATGCCAGAAAGAATAAGAAAATTCTTCTAAACTTTTTCATTAGATGTAAATCAGACAAAAATAATGTTTAGGTGAAGAGGTGAGATCTCACCTGTTTTTTCACCTCTTTTTTCACCCCGTGAATTTTCATGAATTTTCACAAAAGACCAAAAATAATGTTTAGGTGAAGAGGTGAGATCTCACCTGTTTTTTCACCTCTTTTTCACCTCTTGAATTTTCATGAATTTTCCCGAAATAAAAAATAAAGTTAGTTTTATTTTTTTTTTATTTTTTTATTTTGTATAAAAGATATGATTTCAACAATCGGCACAACAACAATTCAAGCCGCGAACGGCGGGACTCTGTCCACAACAACAGCACCAAACTCGTTAGTCATGAATCCTACGTCAATGTTAGTAGAGATGAAAAACTTCATTCCTTCTTCATATACTTTTGAAACAAAAATCCAGAAGATAAAGCAAGAACTTTTAACAAGTAATTTAGACTGTAGTGCGAAAGATGAAGAAAATGAAGAATATCTTTATGAAATGCAGGACATTATTGACCATTTACCCAAATTGCCTGAAATCCAACAACAAAAACTCACTATTCCTGAATTCGACGAAATTGAAGTGAAACCAACTGACTCAGTAGAAATAAAGAAGTTCATACGAAAGGTAAACTATGAATTCCTTGGTTTTCATTGCAACCATAAGGTTATGGACAAAGATTGCGACATGGTATATAAAAACATTTCTGACATATATAAATCTGAGGAGTTTAAGACTTACGATAACTTTGTTTCATTAGTTGCAAAATGTGTTTGGGAAATAAGAGATAAAGATAGAAGAGGCAAAGTATGGAACGAACAAATAAGACCCGCTATGTTTGAGATGAAGAGAGCAATTGACGCCTTAGTTGTTTTAGCTGGTTTTATTTCAATGTATAACGCAAAAATGAACCCGCAATGTTCAAAATGTAAGGCAGCAATTAGGAAATATAACTACTCAGTCAAAGAGATAGAAAGAATGAGAAACGACTATGCAGACTTAAAGAAAGAAGCAGAAAAGCCAGTAGAAGATAAAATGAACATGTTAGAATTTCTGAACAAAAACTATCCAACAGCAGAAGATTTCCTTCTATCTGACGTCAAGAAGAAGTATAAAGAAACCTTCGGTATTGTTAAAACTTTTGACATACTGACAGAAGAAATAGAAGCTACGAAATTGTTTAGGATTTCAAATATACATCGTACAATTCATGTAAAACGCTTGTGAAAAAAAAACTGGGGTGAAAAAAGAGGTGAAAAAACAGGTGAGATCTCACCTCTTCACCTAAACATTATTTTTGCTTTAATTAAATGCTTTCCGGAAACGTCGATGAAAATCATATGGACAAATTATATGAAAAAATTAATAATGATTACCCCTCATTAACCAGGGAAATGACGGATTCTATAGTTCGTAAATTCGATGAAATACAGGATATGTGGTTCGACAGATTCGACATGAACGATAAGGAAAAGAGAAAGAACGATAACAATTTACTTACTAAAAGAATCCTAAAATCTAAAATAGGTGAAGCTTCAACATTTAACACAGTACATAACTTTTACACCGCTGTTTATATTTTCAATAATTTATTTAACGATGAACGAGAAAGAAAAAGTATGTTTAACGGAAGAAATGAATATGATTTTATCCTTTGTGCTGTTCGGGATGTTGACATGAAACTAAAGAAAATATTCTTATTACAAGATGACACGGTTGAAGATGAAGTCAATGAGTTTTTAAATCGTGATTTAAATGAAATTGATGAAGTTATTTCCATCTAGCTTCCCACCGCATAAGATATTCATACGTGTTTGTAAGACATTCATTAAAATTCTTTTCTATTGCATCTAATCTTGCGTTATTTTTTTCAATAGCTTGTCTGTATTCTTCATCATCTCCAGCAGTGTTTGGGTCTTCACGTTTAAAATATTCATTGTTAACCAATTTTTTATCTACAAATTTTATTAGTGTTTGATTCACTTCGTTATGATAACGGTCATATTCTTTCAATACGTAAGTGAAGACAAAATGCGTCGTACCTTCAATCTTAAAGCTTAAAGAACTTTCAACACAGTTTTGAGGGTCTGTCAGTGCGTCAATGAGATAGTATTCGAAGTCAGTCAATAATCTTTTTAAAGTCATTTCATACAGGATAAAATTTAATGTTGTGAAGAAATAGTGTTTATCTCAGAAAAAATAACGCTAATTTTATTTTTATTTATTTTTTTATTTTGTATGTAAAGACAGTAATGACAACATCAGAGAACACAACAACTGCTATCGTTCATGAAGCCATAAATGAAGAATATGAGTACATACAGTTTAACAAACATCTCCGTCTCATTCGTTCGGTCAAAGACGATATGTACCAAATGCAAAGTATTTTGACAGCATGTTTTGCTCCAGATACTAAACACGCAGACGACTGGTTCAGAAACCAAAGCACACAAGAACTTTTGAGTGAAATTTCTCTAGACCGATTTTTTCCGGCCATGCATAAAACTCATGAAAATCGTAAAAATTTGCCAATAAATTTAAGAGGTTGGTATGTACATAGACTTCTTGTAAATGCTGTTGCAATGTGGGCTTCTCCTCGTTATGCATGGCATGTTTACAGACTTCTTGACGAAATTCATAGACAAGAACGTGAAGAGCTAGAGAACAAGCTTGAATCCAAAGACAAAAGCATACAGAAAAGAATACCACGTTCGGTACCAAAAGGAAAGGAAAAGAACTATAAGTATATGATTTATACTGAAGAGATGGAAAATGAAGAAGACAGAGATATGGTTATGTTGCATTTAGTTAGAAGAAACAACAAGAGCTTTTACGACCTTGCTAAGATTTACAAATCTGACAGAAATTGGTTCTATCGCGAAAACTTACCGATTTCAATGACCCCAAATGAAGATGTGAAACAAATAGTTCAAGATACGTTACCTCAAACACACTATAATATTAAAGGTTGTACAATTCTTACCTTCAAAGAAGACTTACCGCTACTGAAAGAAAAAATAACAGAGTATTTCGATAACTTCAAAGAGGAAGAATGAAAATCTAAGCTAATTTTATTTTTTTTTTATAAAATTTTATCTCATATGAAAGAACATGAATTTAGAATATTCGGAACTCATGACAGAAGAGGAGAACGAACAGCATGTAAAAGATTATGCAAAATTTATGAAGACATACAAAGCATTTAAACAATATCTAAATGCTTCTAAAGATTATGCAAAATTTCTGAAGGTATATAAAGCTTATGAAAAAGCGTATGAAAAGTTTATACATTGGGGAATTGTTGTAAAATATCCATATGAAGACTAACCAAAAATATATTTTTGCTTAAATAGCTTCAGGGTCAATTTCTTCAACCATTTCACTTCCTTCGTCAATGTCAATTGAAGCTTCTTCAACCTTTGGTAAGAATTTCTGTATAACATCTTTGTTCGTTATTGTCTTCAGAGATGAAGGATAATATTTCACATTTGTTTCACCCTTCTTATATTCTTTCTGTTCGGAAAGATTCATAGCAATACTGAAGAAGTCAATGTTAGAGTTCTTTATGACAGTATAATGAGTATCTTTGACATTCACGAAGAAACTCTTTTGTTTCAAAACTACTGCTAACTCTTGTGAAGTATAACGTTTGCGGTCAATGACGATAGCTAATGGTCTGACATACTGACCAAACTTAGATTCTTTCACAAACTTCTTGTTAAAGATAACATTAACATTTGAAGCATTATTGAACTCATTCTTGATGGCAGTAGCGAGAGCATTGTATGAAAAGAACTTGCAATCTTGCATGTGTTTCATTAAAATAAAAATATTAAATTATTTTGAAAAATAACTTAAAAAAAATCTAATCTAATTTTTTCAAAAATATTTTTTTTATTTCCTACTAAAGATGTATCGGAAGTTGTCTAAGTTAGAACACTCGGAAATAAAACAACTTCTTACAGAAGCTAACATAGATGTTGCAAAGCATTACGCAACAAACAAAAAAGCACTCACTGACTTCATTAAAGACTATAATGGTGCAATAAGTTATGATAGAATTCATGATTACATTAATAACAAAACATTTCCTTTAAATGACGTTGCTATTGACTTATATCATAGACGTTCAGTACCTCATGAAGTAAGAAGAGAAATGTTTGACATAACAAATGCGAACGTTGGTCATACTCGTAAAGCTCTTTCACATGATGTTCGTCAAGAAATGTTTGACATAACAAATGCGAACGTTGGTGAAACAAGAAGAAGAGACGACACACTGAAACAACAGAGAAGAGAGATGTTTAAGAGCGCTATAGAACAAGTTCGCAAAGCTAACGATGTCATTCGTTCCATTGACGACAAACCAAAAGAAGGTGAGAGATGGTTAAAGAAAGATGAAGAGAATAGGAAGAGAAATGTGAAGTCAGGCAATAGACTCATTGACTTTAACATCGAAGCTTTAGATGAACCAAACAGAGACTACTTACACAAACATTTCGGTAAGGTTTTCATGAGACTCTTAGAGAAGATTAAAATAAACTCACAACAGAGATGGATGGTATGTTATAAACTTGGTGGAAAGTATGAATGTTCTACGTTAAACCTCAATAATATTGGAACATTACTACATCAGCTCTTGAAGGAGAACTTTATATCAGAGATAGAAGCAAATGCTGCAGGTATTGTTGAAATGCACTATGACTTCTTCTTGACAAACATAAAGAATCTTACCGAAATAAAGATGTATGATTTAACAGAATATGAAGGCTTAACGATGTCAGATGTAAAGAAAGGCAAACCAAAAAAGAGACCATATAGAGATGAAAGCACACTGACAAATGACCAGAAAGCCATTTTGGAAGCTCTTAAGCAAACAGGAAACCCAGCACTTATAGAAAGCTTTTGGAAAGATAATGGTGAAAAGAAGTTTTATAAGAAGAGAAGCGGTCAGTTCTGGAAGTATCTTTGCACATTACCTATAAATCTTGAACGCTACCAAATCTTCAATGAACTGAACAAAAGAACTGCAACACTTATGACAGAAGACAATTGTTTCGTTTATGCTTGCATTCAGGCTGGAGTAGATGGAGAGACTATTGACCACATGAGAGAAGTCATTCGTGTTAGAGACTTTCCTCAAAGTAAAGTACAAGAAATTTCTGACGCAACAGGTATAGCATTTAATGTTACCATTGGTTATTTCAATGACTCAAGACATAATGAAATAAAGAGATACATACCAAAAGAATGTGAAACTGTTAGAACTATTGACTTACTTCTTGTTGAAGACCACTACATGCTAAACGAAAGATTACCAATGACAACATATTTCATTCGCAACTATATAGAAATTCTCAAAGCTTGTGGTGGAATGAACATTGAGAAACAAATGAAGATTTATACAAAGAGAGAAGATAAATATGTAATTCGTTATGATAGAACAACACCGCTATGGGATGTTATGAAAACATTGTGGGAGTGCAAATATTTCGAACCTATTTCTTATGGAGAACTTTTCACATATACGACTGACTTATATAAACAGAACCTTGCACCATTTAAAGATTTGACATATGCTCCAAAGTATTGTGTACAACTGAAGAAGAAAGCAGAGTCAAAAGAAGTAAATAAAAATAAGTGCAAGTTCATTCCTGAGCACGTTTTCTTTGCTGACTTTGAGTGTAGTACCGATGGCTTTCATAAAGCTTTTAACATATGTTACGACAATGAAGATGGTTCAGTGAGTGAAAGCATTTGGGGTCAGAACTGTGCAACAGAATTTTTGGAGCGAACTTCCTGACAAGAGTTTAATATATTTCCATAACCTCAGTTATGATATAAACTTCATCTTAAGACACATGACAGAAGTGAAAGGAACTCCCATCATTAAAGGTTCACGAACAATGCAAATAACTGGCTTATATAAAGGAAAGGCAATTATTATAAAAGACTCTTACAGTGTTATAAATAAGAAGCTTAAACTATTTCCTGCTATGTTTAACTTACAAACAGGACCGAAAGAAGTATTTCCATACAACTACTACAGCAGTGTTTTGTTAGCAAATGACAACAGAACTGGTGTCATTTCTGAAGCATGTAAGTTTGTCAAAGGATGCAATACGTTCATGAAGAACATAGATTCCATCAAAGGTTGCAGAATAGATGAGAACCACTTCGATTTAGAAAAATATAGCTCATTTTATTGCAAACAAGATGTAAGAATTTTAAGAGAAGGTTTTGTTAAGTTCCGCAATGACAATTGAAAGAATTTGATTTAAACGTTTATGACTACGTTAGTATTTGTTCTATTGCTAACAAATTGTTTGAGAACAGAGTGTACTTCCCGAATGGAAATTTATATGACCTCTCAAATAAACCAAGAGAATTTATTTCGAGATGCATTCAAGGTGGAAGATGTATGTTGTCAGATAACATTAAACAAAAGAGCGAAAAGAAACTCATTGCTGATTTCGACGCTGTTTCATTATATCCATCCGCTATAGCAAGACTTTATACTTTAGAAGGTATTCCAAAGGTTATGAAGAAAGAAATGTTAAGCACAGAGTATCTCATGAGACATTTATTTGATGACGACCAAAAGGAACCCATTGGTGAAAAGTTTATGTCTGGCTTCTTTTTTCTCATTAAGATAACAGAGATTGGAATACATAGACACTTTCCTTTAATAGTTTGTGACCCTGAACTAAATCCAGAACTTAATGTTCCCAGAAGTTTCAAACACTTGCTGTTTAATGTATGTTGACCATATAACATTACAAGACCTCATAAAATATCAAGGTGTCAAATGTGAAGTGTTGCAAGGATACTATTACGATGGAAACAGAGATATTAGAATAAGAGATGAAGTAAAGAAGTTGTTTGAGTTAAGGTTAAAGTATAAGAAAGAAGAAAATCCTTTGCAAAAAATATAAAGCTCATTCTGAACAGTATTTATGGCAAAACTATTTCTATCTCCTATTGAGTCAAAAATAACCATAGTAAATGACAAAGATGCTATAAGATATTGCCATCAGAAACTACAACCATATAGTGAAGTTCGAAGGTTTGGATGGTTCAGATAAAACTATTTCAAGCTAACGAAAAGTATTTGCAGACACTTTAACTTCTGTCACTTGGTGTTAACATTCTGTCTATGTCGAAGAGAATAATGTGTGAAGTATTCTGTACTGCTGAGGACTTAGGAATGGACATCTTTTATAGCGATACGCCACAGTTATGCATCTCTACAATGAAGATATCCCTCGTTTAGCTGAAGAGTTTGAGAAACGTTATGGAAGAGTTCTCATTGGTAAAAACCTTGGTCAATTTCATAGCGACTTTGCAGAAATCACACCTGGAAAACAAAGTTTAGCATACAAGTCAATATTTTGTGGAAAGAAGACTTACATAGACTTACTCACGAATGATTTAAATGAAGTTGCATTTCACTGCAGAATGAAAGCGTGAAGCAAGATGTTATTGCTTTAACCGCTAATGAAATGTTTTCCTGACTCTGTTCAGTGTTTCTATGATGAAGATAAAGGTTTAATGGTTCCGCAAGGAAAATTGACAAAGACTCTGAGTTCAGTGTTATGAAGTTATATAAAGCACTTTATGACGGTCAAGAGATTGCATTCGACTTATGTAAGTCTGCTACACCTGCATTTGAAGGAAGTTTAACTTTTCTATTCAGACTAAAACAAGCTTTATTCGTAAGTTGAAGTTCTGAGGTCATTTATTTTTGTCAGCAATGAGGTCATTCGTGATAAAAATAAGCCGCTAGCGGCAAGGGCGAAGCCCATGAGGTCATTTACAATACTGCGATGGTAGAGTTTAAGAGTTGTGCTTCAATGTAGAGACAGTCCTTATGGTCTGGAGGTAGCAAACAGGTGCTTTTATGGTCATGAGTGGAGAACATGTCTATCCAAAACTCACGATTGAAGCCAGTAAGCTTGTAATACTTAGGATTTGGCAGTGGTGAAGTTCTTGTATGACCAATGAACTCATTTTCAACTCCCTTACTTAAGTTTGAATATAATATAGCTTGCTTTCTATCCCAAATGCCAGGTGTTACAATCTTTGAAAATTCATTTTTCCTCGGAAGCATTGCATAATAATTGAAAACATTTTTGAAGTCATCATTTGGTTCAGAGATTTGAAATCTTATACGTAATGGATTTTCTTTCTCTTTAGCGACTTCATTGAATGGTGAGAATACAATGAATTGACAGTCATGAGTTCCATCTTCATTTTCATTAAATTCATAATGAAAGTCTATAAGTTGTGGCCGACTACCTTCTTCCTTCAGTTGTGCAAGAAACTCACGTAAAGGTTGTAAAGTTTGTACTTCAATGTTGAACTTTTTCTCGAACATCTCATTAAATGAAATCATACATTGCAACAATGTTGTATCGTCTTTAAAGTATTTGTATATGTGAATGTTTTGGGCGCTTAAAGACTGTTCGTCATTTTCTATCTCGACTTGAAGTATAAAGTCAACCTTTCTGAAAGCACGTGTTATATACATAGATGTTATGCCAATGTACTTCTCTTCATTTATGTTCACAATCCAGTCTGTTGGAAACTTAAACGTTACTCTGTTCCCCTTTATTTTGACGTCAGGGTTTTCACTACTGAACGCAACAGATAAAGGTATTTGTCTATACATTTAATTCGGATAAAAATAAACCATTTACTCTTTCTTTGCTTCAGCTTCTTTAGCTTTTGCTTCAGCTTCTTCTCTAGCTTTCTTCGCCAGCAAACGTGGGTTCTTTTGTCTTCCAGCAGCTAATGCAGCAAGTTGTTTTTCACTAAGTTTTCTCTTTGGTCTCTCTGGCTTTTGTTCTTGTTTTTGTTCCTTCAGTTCGGATAAAATTTGCTCACGAATTTCTTTCTTCAATGCTTCAACATCTATGACCCCTTGGGTCTTGTCCGTAGGGCTTGTCTGAGTCATTTGACTGCAGATAAAAAACAAAATTAAAACTTTAACCGATGTAAAATGAGCTTGTCAAAATCAGAGCGAGAGTCTATTATATTAAATGACGCCAGAGGAATACAACATCCTTTCTATTACGTAAGTCAGAGTAAAGATGGTAAAATATACGTAAGAAAAAGAAAGGTTCCATTAGCGAATGCAGAAAGCGACAACATTAAGGTGTATGGCAAGGGTGAAGCCCATGTTAAGCCTTCTATTCAAACTGAAAAGTCAATAGAACAAGAAGAAAAGAAGCCAGATGTACTTTCAATAACGAACCAAGAGCTTATTGCAAAGTTTGTGAATTTCATTGAAAAAAACAAACCGAGTCAAAGAACCCTGACCCGCCAGTGAAAGAAGTTGAGACAAAAGAGAATGTACAGTTCATTGAAAATGTCAAGAAACAACTTCCACCACGAATGCCAAGAAGAAGAGTGAGAATAATGAAGTAAATAGATATTTTTATCCGAAGTAAATACATGCAGAACGAACAGTTAAACGAATTTACTCCAGCAGAGCATATTCATCAGATTCGCTCATATTTCGATATCATAGACAATGCAGTTCAAATTGGTGACACTAATAGAAAATATTCTGACGCAAAGATTCCATCACAACCTGGAACTGCTAAAGATAACACATGGGTAACATTCAATCTCTCACCTCCTGGTGAAAATATGTTGGACCTTTACAATACATTCATTACGTATAAAATGGAAGGTCAATTTATTGTAGATAAAGAAATTGGTTCAGGTTCCAATAAAACAAACCCACCAGGATTTTGGATTGGTTTCGATGACGCTTTCTATGCAGTTGCTGGATATCAAATCCTTGCAAATGGTCGTATCGTATATTCTCAAGACAACGCAAGAGAAGAAGCATATATAACTTCAAACTCACAAACTACCGAACAAATAAAGAAAGTAGATGTTTTCTCAAAGACTCGACATGAAGATGTATGGAGTCATTCGGGAACATGCAGAACAGGACAAATTGTTAGTGGTCCAATTACAGCAGGAAAATCATTTGATTTTAAGCTTCGTTTAAGAATTCCTGTTAGAAGATTCCTTCCATTAGAAGCTATTCGATTTATTCCAGCTTTTGCAGGAAACATTCAGCTTAAAGTAAAGTTCAGTAGCGACGCCTTACAATGCACATCTATATCTGTAAATGATATCATTGCTTTCAATCCAACTCTTAAAGTTGCATTTGCTTCAGATTCAAATCCACCGACAAATAAATTTGTTCCATGGAATGAACCATTCACTATGATAACGAAGGCAGTAGAAGCTAGTGGAACAGTTACTATTACAACTGTAACCCAGCAACTATTTCGAACAAAGATGGATTTTAATGAATGTTTCATTCATCCAAAGTCATTCTCTTTAGACCCTAACATTTATACAGAACTTGTAGAACATTATACAAACGAGGCTTTATGTTTTCCTGTTAAAGTTATGGATTGGATTCCTATGGACGGTTCATTCTCAAAGAATACAGATAGTTCAAGTGCAACATTTACAGCAGCTTATACGCCTATTAATGTTAAAAGTATTTGGGCACTATTTAGAAAGAAAGACAACTATTATGTTAATTTTGAGAACCCTAAGTTTAAATATCTTCAGCTTTCCATGGGAGCTTATGGAAATATGCCTGCAGAACCTGAAAAATCATATGGACCTGTATTTTATGAAATGGTTGCGAACGCTTGCAATACAAACAATGATATGATAGGATTTAATGAAGATGTTATGAGGTCATTGGTGGATGATGGTAGTGTGGAACAAAATGGGATAGCTATGACAACACACATTTCTTATGTGGTTTTCCAAACAGAAGTGGACTTTTGCTTCCAGCAAGGTCAAACATCTACTGCTCCAATAACATACAAATTGTCTGTTAAAGGACCTATTGAACTAGCAACTGAAAATGTACCAAAGCCACTTATTGGATTTATGAGGGATTGTTGCTTTGCCATTCAGGTGCGTGCTAATGGAATCCCATAATAAGATTAGATGACTATAACTTAGCTACGGACGACAGTGAGGAATAAAGGATGAACGTTTATTTTTAAAGCTTATAAATGAGTTCTTCATCAAGCTCTCGTGAACCTTCACCATCTATGAAACAAACTTTACCAAACGATTATGGAGCACCTATTGAATATTTCTTACGAGCTGCACAATGGCAAAGAGCAGTTTCACCAAGGTTAGGTGTTCCACCAGCTCCTGCCAAAAATAGCATTTGGTCAAGTCCTTATATAAGATATGGTCTCCCACTAGGTTTGCTAGCTACAGCAGGAGCAGTAATGATGTTGAAAAGAAATAAAGCAAATGTTGTAAATAATACTGAAGTAGCTGAAGTTAAACAAACTCCGACACCTTCACAAGCAAAACCTTCAATGACTCCTGAACCTATGGAAGTACAAACTCCTGTTCAAAAGTCAACTCCTAAACCGACTCCAACATTTAAACCAAAACCTACTCCTCAAATAAATCGTAAAACTCCTGCGTTTCCTTACTGAAAAAAAATAACGTTATTTTTATTTAATATTAAAATTTTTATTTGATTGAAATGACGACTAAAGTCACTGAAGCAATGAAACAAAAGTTTTTGGTAGAATACATTAAATCAGGAACTATTCCGGAAGGTTTTTACATTCATACTATGAAGGATGGTAGAGTTCAGTTTAGAAAGATAAAGCAACCATTAGATAGAGAAGGTATATTAAGGAAGATTAAACTTCATGAGGACAACATTGCTGAACTTAGGAAGAAGTTAGAAGAGTTGGAGAAAGGAAGAGAGTTATAAAGTAATGAATTCAATAGGGTGAAAAAACAGGTGAAAAAGAGGTGAGATCTCACCGCTTCACCTAAATTTATTTTTGCGCTATGTTTTCATACGTGTGGGAGTGGTGATATCATTAATTTTTAAGTTTATTTTTTATTTTATTTTTAAGTTTATTTTTATATAAATGACGAAAACTATTGAGATAACAAACTACAACGGTCATGAGTTCAAGAATTTGTTCTTCGTTCCTCGTGAAAATACATTCTATCAGATACGAGGGAGAAAGGGTAAAGTTAGTTTGAGCGTTTATGACTACAAGCATAATGGAAAGTTTATACAAGCATACGATACAAACGGTAAACGTGTTTCATTAGCTTTGTCAAAACTTACAGGTATAAACTATGACAGTGATTTTGACCTATATGAAGAAGAAAGTGAGTCAGAAGATTATGAGCTGTTATGTGAAGCACAGCAATGGGAAGCGCTGCAATACTTTTGTAAGTGAGAACGTTTATTTTTACAGTAGTGAAGTCGTTTGTGAAAACATTAGTGAATTCGTTAGTGAAGTCGTTAGTGTTGTAAAATATACGTTAACTGTTTTGTAAAGTGTCAAATTCACATATAATGGGTAAGGAGGCGCGCAGTGCCGCCGTACCCTTGATATGTATACTAACTAAAAATTTAAATTATGCCGTTCTAAAGTTTGTGACAACATGACATTTTGACAACAACACAGGAGGAAATGATTTGTCATGACTTCTTCATCGTAAATGTTTTGTCAAGACTTCTTCATCGTAAATGATTTGTCAAGACTTCATCGTATATGCTTTGTCAAACATGAACGTAAATGTTTTGTCAAGACTTCTTCATCGTAAATGATTTGTCAAGACTTCATCGTAATGAGTGTAAATCAGACAAAAATATATTTTAGGTGAAGAGGTGAGATCTCACCTCTTTTCTCACCTCCTTTTTCACCCTGTTGAATTTCCTTAAGATAGAAAAAATAAAGTTAGTTTTATTTTTATTTATTTTTTATTTTGTATAAAAGATATGATTTCAACAATCGGCACAACAACAATTCAAACAACTACGGCACCAAATTCATTAATCATGAATCCTACGTCAATGTTGGTAGAGATGAAAAGCTTCATTCCTTCTTCATATACTTTTGAGACAGAAATACAAAGAATTAAGCAAGAACTTTTAACAAGTAATTTAGACTGTAGTGCGAAAGATGAAACAAATGAACAGTATCTTTATGACATGCAGGACATTATTGACCATTTACCCAAATTGCCTGAAATTCAGCAGCAAAAACTAACTATTCCTGAATTCGATGAAATTGAAGTTAAAGTTACTGACTCAGTAGAAATAAAGAAGTTCATACGTAAAGTAAACTATGAGTTTCTAGGATATCATTGCAACCATAAAGTTATGAACAAAGATTGCGACATGGTTTATAAAAACATTTCTGACATATATAAATCTGAGGAGTTTAAGACTTACGATAACTTTGTTTCATTAGCTGCTGAATGTGTGTGGCAGATAAGAGATAAAGACAGAAGAGGCAAAGTATGGAACAAACAGATAAAACCAACAACTTTTGAGTTAAAGAAAACCATTGACGCCTTAGTTGTTCTAGCAGGTCAAATTTCAATGTATAACGCAAAAATGAATCCGCAATGCTCAAAATGTAAAGCAGCAATGAGGAAATATAACTACTCCGTCAAAGAGATAGAACGTATGAGAAACGACTATGCTGACTTAAAGAAAGAAGTAGAGAAACCAGCAGAAGATAAAATGGACATGTTAGCATTTCTGAACAAAAACTATCCAACAGCTGACGATTTCCTTCTATCTGACGTCAAGAAGAAGTATAAAGAAACTTTCGACATTGTTAAAAGTTTTGACATACTGACAGAAGAAATAGAAGCTACGAAATTGTTTAGAATTTCAAATATACATCGTACAATTCATGTAAAACGCTTATAAAATAACTGGGGTGAAAAATTAGGTGAGAAAAGAGGTGAGATCTCACCTCTTCACCTAAAATATATTTTTATTGAATTCAGCAACAAATTTCATGAATTTCATTAGTTAGAAAAATAACGCTAATTTTTTCTAAGAAAATTTTTTATTTTGTATGTAAAGACAGAAATGACAAACATTGAGTTTGAAACAGTTAGAAAGATTGACAATGACACCAAAGTGGTTAGAATAGGTGATTTAAACGTAAGATACTCAAAGAAATACAACAAATATTCTTTGTCAGACATTATAACACCATCTGGAAAAAAAACAAAGGACTGGGTTAGAATTGCTTCTACTCAGAAAATTTTGACAAGAAATCCTGAGCTTATGATATCAGTAGCATTTCATGGAACAAGAGCATATCTTATAGACAAAAGTCTTATACCATTAGTTTTGTTATGGTTAGACCCAGTTGTTGGATATAACTTCATAACTTATGGTTCATTCGACTCAGAACGTTGCAGTGAAGGCTTACTTTACATCGTTCAGAAACCGAAGGACTTCAATACAAAGAGATATAAGATAGGAAGAACATATAATATAACTCAAAGATATGACAGTACAGTCAATAGAGTCAAGGTTGTGTTCGTTAATGATATGAGAGCTGCTGAAACAGAACTGCTTGAAGTTTTTGAGAAAATATATGGTGCTCCCATGAAAGGTAAAGAAACGTTTGAAGTAGATGAGATAGATAAAGCTATAAAATTATTTGACGAAGTTGCTGAAAAATACATGTAAAGCGTTTATTTTTGGTCTTTTGTGAAAGTCAGAAAAAATAAAGTTAGTTTTAAAATTATTTTTATTTTGTATGAAATGACAGTAATGTCAACATCAGAGAACACAACAACTGCTATCGTTCATGAAGCCATAAATGAAGAATACGAGTACATACAATATAACAAACAACTTCGCCTCATTCGTTCGGTCAAAGATGACATGTACCAAATGCAAAGTATAATGAATGCTCTTCGTTCTACAAAGCAACAGACAAAAGAACTTTTAGAAGAATTTCCTCATATGATTGCTTCCCTCGGAAAACCGAGAGAAGAGATTCCGTATGAAAATCGCAAGAGGGTAGAAATGAGGGTAGATATCAGGTTCTTCAAAAATAATTCATAACTGCCTTCCTCCTGTGTTGTTGTCAAAATGTCATGTTGTCTCATTTTTTTAGAGAAGTTAAATAACCGAGTGACACATGGTGACGTAGTGACACCTTCAGTTCTTCAAAAATAATTCATAACTGCCTTCCTCCTGTGTTGTTGTCAAAATGTCATGTTGTCTCATTTTTTAGAGAAGTTAAATAACCGAGTGACACATGGTGACGTAGTGACACCTTCAGTTCTTCAAAAATAATTCATAACTGCCTTCCTCCTGTGTTGTTGTCAAAATGTCATGTTGTCTCATTTTTTAGAGAAGTTAAATAACCGAGTGACACATGGTGACGTAGTGACACCTTCAGTTCTTCAAAAATAATTAATTATTGAATAACCTAAAAACCATGAGACTTTGTCTCCGGACTCTTTGAGTCACTTAACGTAAACCATTTACGATGAAATCATGACAAAGAGTTTACGATGAAACCTTGACAAAACATTTACGCTCATGTTTGACATAGAGTTTACGTTCATGTTTGACATAGAGTTTACACTCATTACGATGAAGAAGACATGAAAATTCAACAGGGTGAGAAAAGAGGTGAGATCTCACCTCTTCACCTAAACATTATTTTTGGTCATTTACGATGAAATCATGACAAAACATTTACGATAAAATTTATTTCCTCCTGTGTTGTTGTCTAAATGTCATGTTGTCTCATTTTTTTAGAGAAGTTAATTAACCCGGTACCATGCGAATACAGTCACAAATGGTGGCATGTAATCTTTACCCGAGCCTGTTGGATTTGTTGTGAAAGTGTGTGAATGATTACCTGCGGTTCCACAGAAAATACCTGTGCTTGAATCTACTGGGTCAGTTGTGATATCATATCTATTCATTCCCTGTCTATCCGAACCCGCTGCAAGATTTGTATAACCTCTTTTTGTTATTGAATGTGAATGATTACCTGTTGTGTTTGTCGTTCCTGTATGAGTGTGCGGTGGAAGGTTTGCTTCTTTAATTTTCTTCGAACCTCCTGTTTGCTTTGAATATCTAGCACAGTATAAGAATTTGTCTACAATCTGCTTCCACATACCAAAACCTAAAACTGTTTCTGGATTTGTTGAGTTCATTGACGTATAAATAGAACCAACAGGATATAATGTTTGAAGAATTTCCGTCTTTAATGTTTGAAGCTCTGTTTTGTCAGCTTTCTTATCATATAAATCTTGAGCAGTGAATTTAACGTTATTTTCATCATCCATGACATAAACATTTCTACATCTAATGTATTTCATCGTTGTTATGTTTTCATTCGATGTTAAACCTTGTGGAAAGTTAGGAGGTTTACAATATAATGCATCCCCATCAGTTCCTTCAACCGTTCCTTCAATACTTTCTATAGCAACAGTTGAGAAGGAGTTATGTGTATGGTTCTTATCTGCTTTCTTATTTAATTCAGTATTAACATAAGTTTTATCTGCTTTCTTCATTAATTCATCATCAACATAAGTTTTATCTGCTTTAAGGTCTAAACATCCTGAAACCCATCCTGTATCAGCTTTAGTTTTTAAAATCTTTGATGTCCATTCATGATACCATTCAACCTTTCCATTAATTTCATTATCTTTTTCATTAACGTATTCCTTATCAGCTTTCTTCATTAATTCATTTAGGAAACCTTCTATGAATTCCTCATTTAAATTAAATCTTCCAATCTTCAAAACTTTAGGAAATGCATTTAATGCGTAATATCTCTGTTCTTCTGGTGGAATTGATGTTATATCATCCGTTATACCTTTAATTTTAGAATTCATAAATAAAATTTCTTTTATATTTGATATCACTGCACCACCTTTGCAAACGAATTCGAAATGTTCATTTTTCAATACTATCTCCAAATCTCCATATTTCAACCTTTGCGTTTGTTCTGCCGTCTTTGAATTATATGCATATATGGCGTATGTAATGGTCTGAGGGACCTGGGTGCTTTGTGCCTTAAGTTGTTGTGGTTGCTGTTGTTTAATCATTTATTATGATTTAAAAATAAATATTTTAATCTGTTATCTCATCAGCTATTTTCTCTATTTGAAATTGCCATAATATTTCATTCATGAATTCTAAATCACAATCAAATAGGTCAGTTATTCTAAATTTAATATTTGATAAATCTTTTGAATGAAGAATAAATGAATTCCCGGATAATTGAAACGGATATGATAAAGAAAATGTGTTTAAGTTGATGGATAAAATGTTTTGTATTGATGGGTAAGAGTTAGGGTCTAATGTTTGATGTGAAAATCTCATTGGGGTATTAACTTTATCACATTTGATTAAAATGAAATTGGAACCGGTGTCAGAATACAAAACATCCCCAACATCTTTTTCAAAATTTAATATTCCCAACAATGAACGAAGATGAGGAGTACAAAATTTAATTTTCAGCGGAAATTTAATAAGGTTATTTATTTCATCAAGTTCAAAAAGTTTATCGGGTTTTGATTTAAAATTTTCTTCATACCATACGATAAATGATTCATTTAAATAACTTAAAATCGTGTTAATATCCCATTTCGTTATCACATTATTTATATACATATCATACGTTTTTTCAAGGTCATCTTTAATAAATGATATATAATCTGAAGGGTCTAAAAGAATGGGATTAAATTTACCACTCACAGAAACGAGAGTAACATTATAAATTCCGCTAACTGTTAAATTTAATTCACAGTTATTATTCGAAATAATATTGATAATTGACATTTTTATTACGATTAAAAATATGGTAAAGCGTTATTTTCCAGTGATAAATAAAACTAGAATAAGATTACCTCAAGAATTCATAAATTCAACGAATAAGAAATTCATTCATGTTATAAATTTTAGTGTTTTCAGAAAATATGAGTCAATGTCATATTCATCAACGGGTTATATTTCACTTCATTCAAATTTAGTTCAATCAAACCCATATAATGACCATTTCATAAGATTTTCAGATGGTATTAAAAATGTAATTGATAGATTAAAATATGAACAGATTGACAATATCGAATTTTTGGAATTTTGGTTTAAATATCCCGATGGAAAAAAGATTGAAGTTAAAGATAAAGCTGATACTATAACAAAAACAATTACAATGACCGATCCGGATAGTGGGGAACAAAAAGAAATAAAACAAACGATAGAAACTGGTGAAAGGTCAATTATTATTGATTATGATTCAAAGGATTATTATTCGATAATGTTAATGCTTGAATATTAAATAGCCTTAACAAAGAATTTTTCAAGTGATATTTTATATTCATCAACTATTTTATTATAAATATCATTATATGTTAAATGAAGTTCAGTTGTTGTTCCGTTCTTTGATATCTTAATTGTGCTAATATCCTTTATAGGATTTATTTTTGCAACTGTTCCGCAGCATGAAACCTCATCATCTATGAAAAATTGAATCTTAACGTCTGAATCTTGAACATCACAAAGAATGGCGATAATGTGAATTAATGATTCATAAGGTAAAATAATTAAACCGGATTGGTCAATTAAATTTATTATTGAATCATAATTATTAATTATTATATCACGGTAAATTTTCATTAATTCAGAATTAATGTCTATTTTATATGGGTTCTCGATGTTTGATGAAAGAGGTGGGGGGTATGTTGGATAAGTGGAAATTTCAACAGGTTCTTTACCGGGTTCAGATAAAATGATTGGGTCTCCATCTTCTTTATTTTGCTCCTCCTCCTTTTTCGGTTGAGTTGCTGACCTTGTTAATTCGGGGCTAACATTAACTTTAACATTTTGAATAATTCGTGATTTATCATCATTTACGTTATAACCAACCGTAATCTCTGCTTTTGCGTTAGTGTTCTTTTGACTAGTGAAACGTCTTCTCATTTATATTCGAATAAAAAAATATATTTAAACTTTTATTTTGCTGGAACTTTTGAATCTATTATTCCCTGTATTTGTTCATGAAGTTGATTTTTAGCTGTTTCATCGAAATTAATAGACCGAATATATTCATTAATTGCATTCTTATAATCATTGATTTCTCAAATTTTCTTTTATCTGTTTCCTTAACTAAATCATAAGTTAAACCACGTTGCTGATATAATGGTTTCTTAATTAAATTTTGAATGCTTGAGATAAAGCACCTGATGCAATTCTTGCTACTATAATTGGTTGGAATTGCTGTTTAAGTTCATTTTTAACATTTGCGAAAACTGGATCGATATAAGCAACTTTAAAGAATTCTTAGCTGAAATTTCAGGTCTAATATTTGCATATTGACCATCAAACTGGTTAGAATATCGTGGTAATCCATCCGGTCCCTCTTCAAACAGCATTTAATTCTTCATTGAAATAAGAATATGGATTATGACGGTATGAATTAATTGGACCATTTTCACCTTCTCCAATGTATTGTTTAATAGCTTTTCCATTTTCATCAAATTGCATAGGATAACGTTCATTATATGCTTTACGTTTAGGATAATTAGATATAGTTAATTTATAACCATTTATGACTTTAATATTACCTTGACCATCAGTAACGAAAACTTCATTTATACCATCAGGTTTTCCATTTGGACCCGTAATGTCTGCTTCATGTGCTTCCCAATTTGGACCATGACGTTTGGCATACGCTTGAGCTTCTGGTAATGTTAAAACGTTTCTCATTTGTTTAACATCTTTTTGAAGACCAGCAACAATATGAACTAATTCTTTCATTCCATCAGGAACTTTCATAGTTCTATTATATGCACCCTTTTTGTTTGTCCCTTGTTTTAATGGAACCTGTAGAGATTTACCATTTCTGTCATGTTTAATTATAAATAAAATAAAAATTAATTATAAAAAGTTAATCAAATTTAACACTTCCTTTATTTAAATCAACTATTATTTTTCCATGTTCACCTAATTGCTGATATTGTGTGTAAAGTTCATTAATGCTCATTGGTAAATTCACTTGATAAAGCATAACGTTCAACTGTTGACGACTAAACCCACTGAAATGAAAAGTGTTGATAGATTTGATTTAATGTTTGTGCTTAATGCTTTGAAATATTGAAACAGCCATGAAGAATGAACACTGAATGTGTCGACATTGAGTTAATAACTGATTAAAATATGATTTCTCATTTGTTATTAGTTTTTGATTTCACTGCATCATCTAGAAAAATGAGTGAATGCAAAAATTCTCTATCAAAAATTTGAAATAGAAAGTGTTTCAAATAATTCATCTCGTTGTTTATCAATAATTTTATCCTCTAATCCTTGCTTCTTGATTGTATTATATAATTCTTTATACATTAAAAAGTTTTTTAAATAATCTTCTGCTTCTTTTGTGATAAATAAATAATTGGAATTTTGATTAAATGCTTTAAAGATTCAAATGTATCATCTGAAGGTGAACCTGAACGGTTGATATAAATTAACACATGTGAATAGGGGGAAGTGTTAGCAATAATGATAATTTGTTTTAATATCGGTAATGTTTTACCTTTATTTTGTTTACCAATTGCTGCCAGGTGATTGAATTTAAGTAACATTCAGAATATGGAATTTTCATTAATTTTCCTTAGATAGAGCATTTCTATTATCACTCAATGCTTCATTAATCATATCATCTACGTATGTATTATATACTCCCGCAATTCTTCATAAGGGGTGGATGAATTTAAATCCATTTAATCAAAAATAAATTTATAATTTTAAACATTTCTATTCATCAATATTTCATCATATGAACTTCTATACTGTGGTGGTGTAACCTGTTGGATGATATTTCAAACCTTCATCCGGTGTCCCTGTCCAATACGTAGTCCTAGTAAACCAAAACCTGAGGAGGATTTGTCACCTTTGAACAGTAAGTGTCATTTACACCCTGAATGATTGGATAAGCTTTCACTTGTACTGTAACTTGTGAGTTGAAAGTTTCTAATCCATCAAAGAATATACCCGCTCCATCACGTTGAAACTGGAATAGTGCATAAGAATGAAGTTTTGGTCTTTCCATGTTCTAGCTAATGGCGTGCCATTATCATCATTCAGTGGTCTAGTTAATGATGTCCTCGTATTCTTCCGTGCATTCATTCACTCCATCTAAATCAGAAGCTTGAAGCATATACGTGTAAAGAATATGTCACCCACTGTGGTCATCGCTTGATCGGGGAAGTTTCTGGAATCTATAGTGACCTGAAGACCTCGAAGCATTGGATTTTCTAAAACTGTTCTTTTGCTTGCATTCTTCGGAAATGCTAACAACAACATCTGTAACATTATGAAGAGCGTATGAGAAATCTGAGCTGATACCTTCAGGAGTGATGCACCTCCATTTAGTGAACGAACGTCAATATGTTGAGCTGGAATCATGAATGGATCTTCCTTACTGAATAAACGTGGTATTGCTTTAATTGATTCTTCAATTAAACCGTTCCTGGTGTAATGCATTTATCCTCTAAAACTTCCATCTTTGTGCATGAAATAATAACGTTTATCAACTGTTGCGTTAGCAGATGTAGCGGCTAAGCTTGTAATTAATTTGGCAGGAAGTCCGATTTGTTGGAATTTGCGATCATATTTTATAAACATGATTCATAATCTTTTCATAATTTTCATCAGTTATCTTTTCATAAACGTAATTTTGTAAATCAGCAACTCTTAACGGGTCAACCTGACAAAATACTAAAGTATCCCTGAAAACATAATATTTAAGAATGATATCACCAAATGATTTAGGATAATCATCGAACGCCTGAAATGCTAACAAATCATTTACCGAATAATCATTATCAAAAAGTGATATCAACTTCTTCATTTGCTCTCTTGAAAAACTTCTGAAGGGTCAATATATTTACCACATACTGAGTTATCATATTTTTGAACATTATTATATAACGAATGAACAAACTTTTTAACTTTCCTTTCTGATTTTGGTTATATGTTGCAAATGCGAAAGATTCACGGGCGCAATCCATCTGAAGATAACCGGCATCACCTCTTTCGGTTTTACTTCTAATTGTTTTAAAGCTTTGATTTGATGATTTGTAACCAACGAATAAACGCATGCATTTAAAAGCGGCATCACATGTGAAAGCTTTATTTGAACTAGAGTTGCTTTAACTTTGCGTTTAATATATGTTCACCTAATTGATTCACATCATGAGCCGGATTTGTAATTCTTAAATGAGTTTGTTTATCATCAAAATATGGAGCATCAGAGTCATAGCATGAACTTTCAAGTTCTCTATAATATCTTCTACCGTCATTCTTTGCGAATATTTCATTTATCTTTTCGAATGAATGAAACACATTTCCATTAATCGGTTTAGTGTTTGGCACCAAATAGTTAGTCGTCATTTATTAATAAATAAAAAAATCAAAATTAAAAGATGAAAATGAATTTTTAATTTTGATGAATAATCAACTATGGCTGCAGGTATATTTAAGAAACTGTGGGATAAAGTAAAAAGAGGAGCGCATAAAGTTTGGGAAACAATGAAGAAAGGAGAAATTGGATATTAAGAATAAAGAAGCAATTAGTGACATTGCTGAATCAATAACGCCAAAAGCTGCCCCAATAAGAGAAATATTAAATAAGGAGAAAAAGTTTATCAAAGACTTCAACCGATACTAAGATAAAAATAATATTTATTTTTCCACTATCTACCTCCTATTTTATTAAGTATTCCTTCAGCAATTCCACCAATTGCGTTACCTGCTTGTGCTCCCATCGCCGGATTACCTGCTTTTAGTACCTAATACTCCACCTATGATAGTTCCTGCCGTTTTCGCTACTGGTGCCAAAAAGTTTGCAATGGGTTTAATAATATTTTTATAAACCCAACCCGCAGCTTTCTTAATTCCATCCCATAATTTTTTAAAGAATCCTGCAGCTATTTCTGATTTAATATTAATTAAAAAATATATTTCATCACTTATATTCTAATTTTTATTTAATGATAAATGAAACCGATTTTAAAAATAAATGGAACAGAGGAGGAAGAAATAAATGAAAGTGAAGATGTTCAACAAAAAATAAAAAAAAAAAAAAAAAAAAAAAGGTAGTGGGGCTTCCAGGCACTTCGTGCCTTCTAGCCCTGATGATGTTTAGTAATAAATGAAGTTTTTATTCGGAAAAATTGTTAGTCTTCTGGGTCGAAAACATTATATATAATGTGTCACTTTTCACAAATTATATATGTTTTCATGTTTTGTCAAACATGAACGTACATGTTTTGTCAAGACTTCTTCGTAAATGTTTTGTCAAGACTTCTTCGTAAATGTTTTGTCAAGACTTCTTCGTAAATGTTTTGTCAAACATGAACGTACATGTTTTGTCAAGATTCTTCGTAATGAGTGTAAATGACCAAAAATATAATTTAGGGTAGAAGGTTAGATCTAACCTCTTTTCTAACCTCTTTTCTACCCTCTTGAATTTGTCATGATTTCTTCGTAAATGTTTTGTCAAACATGAACGTAAATGTTTTGTCAAGACTTCATCGTAATGAGTGTAAAGGACCCAAAAATAATGTTTAGGTGAAGAGGTGAGATCTCACCCGTTTTTTTCACCTTTTTCTCACCCTCTTGAATTTTCATGATTTCATCGTAAATGTTTTGTCAAGACTTCTTCTTCGTAATGAGTGTAAAGGACCCAAAAATATAATTTAGGGTAGAAGGTTAGATCTAACCTCTTTTCAACCTCTTTTCTACCCTCTTGAATTTTCATGATTTCTTCGTAAATGTTTTGTCACTTTTCTGTCACTTTTCAGGTAAAAACATTTTTTATTATTATATATAAATGAATTTTACAAAACCACCGTTACCGTTCTTTGGAAATAAGAGTAGATGTAAAGATATTATATTGAGAGAACTTAAGAAACTACCGAATGGTCTAACATTTGTAGATTTGTTCGGTGGAAGTTTCTATATATCCCATTTGTGCCATACAATATTCCCAGACTCAAAGATTATATGCAATGACTTCGACAACTATATGGACCGTCTCAAACATATTCCAGACACAAACAATATATTGAAAGAGTTAAAAGAAAAGATACCTATAGGTAAGATGGAACGTATACCATTAGATAAGAAAAATATTGTGAGAGAGGTTTTGAAAAAAGCAGAATATATAGACTGGGATAGTATATCTGCTAGACTATTATATAGTGGTTCTATAAGAGTTCATGACATTGAAACACTTATGTCAAAAGTTTTATATCTTAACTATACAAATGTTTTCAAAGAGGACATAGAAAATATATTGAGGGTATAGAGTTTGTGAGATGTTTATTGGACAGATTTGTATGAAAAATATAAAGACAAGGAAAATGTTTTCTTTATAGTGGACCCGCCGTTCTATAACACATGGGATTTTCAATACCAAGTAGACTGGACTTTGTGCTGAACAAAAAGTGTCATATAAACATCTGTCAAAAACCGTTTTTTACTTCACTTAAAATGCCACGTAAGCTACGTAAGAATATACGTAAAGAGAAGGGAGCATTGAAACATCCAATAGTAAAACTGACACCACAACAACAGTTGCAACAACAAATTATGAATGACCCCACTATGTTGCAACAAATGTCAAGCAACCCTATGCTTTTAAACCGAGTTATAGGTGCACAGAGTGGAGGTTTAAGAGCGGCACTTTTAGCGAAAATGGCAGGCTATGGTGGAGCTGCAGACGGAACAGCTTATAACCCTCAAAGTCAAATGAATTTGAGTTCACTCAAAAATAAAATAACAGATGTCAAAAAGTCAAACATAGACATACAGAAACAAATAAGTGAAAACGAAAAGAAACTAGAATATGACAGACACACAAAGAAACTCAATGAGTTAAACGTAGAGAAAAAGAAGAAAGAAGAACAACTGAAAGAACTAAGTACAGAGGAATATGCGAAAAAAGTGTCAGAAAAAGCAGCAGAAGTAGCAAAAATGGAACAAGATGTTATAAATTTGAAAAACCATACTACTCAATATAAAGTACTGAAAGATGAAGAGATAAAACAAAAAGCCCTGAAGACATATATGGATAGCGATGAGTATAAAAAAAGAAGTTGAAGCAAATGTAAAGGCAGAAAAACTTTTACAGTTGCAAAACCAAACCGTACAGTATGAAAAACTTAGCACAAGAAAGTAAAAATAACGACGCAGCCATGCAAAAGGCAATGAAAAGCGCAGAATATATAAAAGCTAATAATGACTGGTTAGATGCCCAAGCCAACGCTAAAGCAGCCCAACTTATAGGTCAATAAGGACAAAAATACAGCGGATGAAGACAGTTCAAATGAAGCTTTAATGAATGCTGACTTTAAGAACGCCTTCGAAGCTCTTCATAGTAAGGTGAAACTAGTGAACGACTTCTCATCTGGAAAGAAACTGAAGTCTGAAGGTTTCGACAACGAGTTAAGAGAAGTAGCACAAAATATGACGAAAATAACAGATGCAGCAACGAGACAGGCAGTTCAAAGTGCCTATGACGCCGTTAGAGCAACTGTTGTGGAAAGTCAAGAAAAAGAGTTACAACGACCAAAACAGACCTAGTAAATGCTTTCTTAAGAACGAAAAGTCAGGTAGGACATTATGCTGCAGATGGAACATATGTGCCAGCTGGTGGAACTTATATCCACCAGATGAGGTACAAGAAACTCCACAGGAAGAATTCAGATACAACCAGACATGGAAGAAATAGTTCAGCAACAACAGCTAGAAAGCCTGAAGGAAACGAACAAGTTCCTCCTTTGGAAACTACAGAAATAAATGACGCAAGACTGAAACATTGGGTAAAAGCTTTCCCATTCACAAAAGATATTGTTGGTAACATGGAAAGAAAACCAGAATGGCTACAAAAACATATATTTGGAAACGAGCTTATTCCATATGGACAAGCTCTGTTTGAAGAGCTTGAACCGGAAACTCAGGAAAAGAGTCATGCAAACAATACGCGAAGACTCAAATACAAACTATGACAAAATCTTTCTAGGATATAGGTTACCTGAGATGGGCGACCAGAGCCCAAAGGCAAAAAGGACATGGGAAATTTACAACATACTAGGTGAACATGAGGCAAAGATGCAACAACTTGAAGCAGAGGGCAAGTTACCAAAAGCGACACCAAAGAAGAAGAGTAGAACAAAGTGAAAGTAGTGAAGAAGTAACTTCATCTAGTGAAAGTAGTGGCAATGAAGGAAAAAGAAGAGTTAAAACTCAGTCAGGAAGAAAGTAAAGCTTGGTCCGAGTGGGTTCTATTATGATATATAAATCCAACTATTCTATATTTTTACCCATATGAAATGTACGCCGCTCAGAATATAACGCCAACAGTTTTGGATGCCATGAACGGAAATGTTTCCGAATGGTATAACGAATGCGACAATGCCATTAGAAGGTCAGAAATAGTTCCTGGAACTTACGAATATACAACTGCTGTTTCTTATGGAAACGTAGGTGAGTTTGGAGAAGGCTCTTCAACAACAGTAGATATTGCTTGCGACAGGTTTCATATTATTTCTATTGACAACTCATTCTTATACGTGGAACAAGACATTGAAATAAAACCTTCTGCCAAGTTGTCTGACAAGAAAGGTTGCAATGGAATTTTCTATGTCGGATACCAATATGCTCCAGAAGTTTTCATGGGATATAAGATATATTCTAACTCTGACTTAGTTCAAACAGTAACATGGGCAAACTATGAATGGTTCGCTTTGAGAAACTCAGTACAACCACAAGCTAGAGAACAAACAGACCAGTATGCAAATATTGAGAAAATAAGAAGACTTGACCCTAACGTTCCAGGAGTTTATGTTAACCTTTCTGGTTCAGATGGAAATGCTGCCACTAAAGTAAAACTGAAACTTAGAGTTCCTTTGTCATCTTTCCTCATCTTCAGGTTTTAAGATACTTGCCAAACTGGGCAGGAAAAATTTCTATCGAACTTACTCCAAGCAAAAATAACTTAGTCATTGCACCAACACAAGACCCATTCAGCATTACTGTAGCTGGAACTGGTGGAGCCAAGTTTCTGTGACTTTTGCAAAGACAAAGTTGACTTAGACTTTGGTTTCTCAAACTTCAACAATGAAGTAAACTATTATTTCAATGCTGCTGGAACTGCTTGGGACCCAGTTAAGTTCACATGCGAAAAGTTTGAATGCAAGAGAATAGAAAGCAGACTTGCCGTTTATATGTTGGACCCAGATATTTCAAATGCTTTAGCTGCCAAATATATTGCAGTTCCACTTATGTTCCCTATACACCAAATATCTGTCAAAGACTTTGCAGGTGAAGTTGGAAAACCAAAGTGCTGACCCAGGTGCAAAAACAGATATTGCTTTAAACAACTGCAATGAAACATGCAGATACTATGTTTGTACTGTTCAGACGAACTATAAATGACTATTCTTGTTTCTACAACCCCGGTATTAAATATCATATAAACATAGATGGCAAATATTATCCAAGAGAAGAATATTCTACAGTTGAGGATATGAGGTCATACAACTTGACATTAGATGCTATGAACTTTAACAACAACTTCACAACAACCATAAACCCTGAAATGCAAAGTTCTATTATGCCATATGTGAAAGTATGGACTCATACAGGAGGTCAAAAAACTCAATATACAAATGGAGACCGTTCAAACTTTTGGCTTGGCATTCCATTTGCTGACTCAGAAGACTTTATGGGTGGTATTTCAACTGTTGGTACTGTACAAATACAATATACTGGTGACAGAGACGGTCCAGATGAACTGAGAGCAAAGAAGTTTACAAAACCAATAGCACTTTTCACGGAAGATGCTCTTTTGAAGATTCGTTCGATGAAACCTGCTGGGGCTCCTCAGATTGGCATAACGACAGCTTCCATCGAGCAGATTTTGGCAGCAGGTCAGTAAGTTGTTCTTGAACTGACTTCTCTCCGTCAAATATTGACAGTACGCCAGTTTTGACATAATATTGTAAGATAAACTTACCTTTAGAAATATCTGTAAGTTTTGTTGTTATATTTTTGTCTGCTTCAAGAACTTTCACCATTTCAGTTATACCAACTTTCTTTGCTTTATGAAAATATTTAGGTTCAGCAAAGACTGCTATTCTATAACATTTACCATTGTTTGTATAAAGAACTATTCTGTCAATGTATTTGTATTGTTTGTGAGTATAAACTTTGTTTTGCTTCAATTCGAAGAGATACTCGAATACGTCCATCTTTTTATTCTAAGTAAAATGTCATTTCCGAAAAATAGAAGCGTGAGTGTTTCAAAAGGTTTAATGGCGGTGGCAGATGTGAAGTTAAATTCACCAACTCAAACAAACAGTCAAAGTGTTGTTGTCAATGTCAAAGACAGAGATGTTGAAGTGGGGAAACCATACGAAGACGAAGATGGTATAACAATTGTTCCTGTAAAAGAACAACCAACATATCCTGAAGTTAGCAGAGACTTAAGTTCTGTTGCAGATATTCGAAACGACTACCAACAACTTAAAGACAAACTTCAAACTCAGGAGAAGATTTGTCAAGCTTTAGGTATAATGTTAAACTTGGTCGAACACAACCCTGTAAAAGTGAACTCATATGTCATTGCACCTCATGAAGTTTTGAAAGAACTATTGAAACTTTTGACAGAGGCAGACGATATAAACATCAAAGAAATAGAACCCGACATTAGTTGCTGTGGTGTTTCATATAATGTCATTGACAAGATATACGTTATGAAAGGAGGTGAAACGTTGAACTTAAAGTATAGTTTCCCAGACGTCATAAAAATATTTGACGACCACAACATTTCATTAAAATTTATTTGCTAAGTAAAAATGTCAAAACTTCTTGAAAGATGTTTGAAGAAAATAATATAGACTTTATTTCATGTAAAGGACTTTACACACTTTTGAACGATATGAAAGACCCTGTTTTGTTTGTTCGTGTAGACAAAGGAAAGTTCTATGTCTTTACAAAATATTTGAACTTCTTAGACAGAGAACTTCAAGAAACGCCATGTGAAAGTTTAGATGAAGTTCTTCTCCACTTTCAGAAAAACTTTTAAATATATATAAATGGCAGAAGATATAATGGTTTATACTATTACGACTAAAAACCCTGAGTCATATAATTCTATAACAACAAACTTACAAAGTCCTAAGGACGATATTGTAAACTAACCTTAAACACAATGACGACTAAAGCCTGTTTTTGCTCTTTTGACACCGAAGACTTTATTGTTGTGAATGGTAAAAAATACTCCTTTGAAGATACTTACTCAGATATACCACCAACAGGTTTTGTTGACTTATTTAATACTTAAGTACGGGTGTAACATGTGCTGCAACTAGAGCAGGTTTCATTATGTTTGGATGTCCGACTGAGTTTACTATAAACAATATGAGCTATAATACAAAACTTATTTCTGGTTTTTACTACCAACAGTTTCCTATAACAGGAAAAGGTGTCATACAAGGAATGTCTATTCCATTGACTTAAGTACACCTATTTTATATATTGTTTCAAACTTAGGTTCAAAGTGCTATTCGAATGTCGACAGAAACTACTATGACCAAAAGATACTTATGCGTATAAACAATACTTTCTCTGCTGGTTTGCCTATTGTTCATTCGATGCAGAATTTTCAACTTAGTGAACTCAAACACTTTGGCAAGTATAAACGTTGACATTAGTTGACGCAAACTTTGTTCCTGTAAAACTTTTTATGTCCTATGTATTTGTCAATGACGGCAGAAAGTTTCGAATTGGAAGATGCAACTGGTGAAAGTATTGTATTACAAGAACAACTTCAACAACAAATAGCTCAAGAACAACAAATGCAACAAATGCAACAACAAAGTCAAGAATAAAAAAAAATATTTTTTTTATTTTTATAAAAATGTACAGAATAGATGTTTCAGATTTTTATGACTTCCAAGCATTCAGAAATATGTGTCCATTTCGAGACTATAACAAAGCAGTCGAGAATTTTGAAACGTTTAGTCATTTATGTCGACTCTGCCCCAGAATGTTATGTTATGAAAGAATGGGATGTAGTCTTTAACAAACCTAAAGCGACAATAGTTTCAGAACAAGAATGTAGACAGAAACTTAAGAAAATAAAAGTCGTACAAGTTGGCATGAAGATGTTAGATGCTTGGGATATCTTATTGTCAAAACTTGAAGATTTTTCAGTTCGTGGTATAAAGTTTTATACACCTTCTCCAAACTTCTATTCTATCTTCACTGGATATAAATACGAACAAGTAGAATGGAAAGAAAATATTATAGAAGCTTGGTTAGACCATGTCAAAGAAATTATATGCAATGGAAACGAAAGAGTCTATGAGTATATCTTATGTTGGTTTGCAAACATCTTACAACATCCAAGTGCTAAAAATGAAACTGCTCTCATTATAATTGGAAAACAAGGAACTGGTAAGAATACTTTCTTTACAGATATTTTGTGCAAACTGTTAGAGGGCTATTCGAACCCGAATATGACAAACATAGAAAACATCTGCGGTAAATTTAACTCCTCAATAGAGAATATGAAACTTATAGTTTGCAATGAACTTCAAAGTATAGATACAACAAAGTTTTGAACTCAGATGCTTTGAAGAGTCTTATAACAGACAAAGTTGGAGTTGTTGAAAGAAAGTATAAAGACCAAAGAGTTTGTGAAAATGTTGCAAACTTCATTATGGTTTCAAACAATACTGTTCCGATGAAGTTAGAAAGTTCTGACAGAAGATATGTAGTTGTCAGAACGTCAGATTCTCATATGCAAGATACAGAATATTTTGACGACTTAGCAGAAACTTTGACATCTGACTTTTACAACCACTTGTTCTCATATTTTATGACATTAGATATTTCAAAGTTCAATCCAAGACAAATTCCACATACCGAAGAGAGACAAACATTGTTAGAAGCAAACAAGAGTGTATATGAACTGTTCATAGATGAAACTGACTTTGAGTGTTTAGATGAAAGGTCATTGTACGATTCGTATAAACAATATTGTCAAGAATATGGTTATATGACAGCTTCTAAACGTACATTCTTGGCAAATGTCAAAAGTCTTTTAGACGTACAGAATGGTGTATATACAAAGAAAAATTTTTATGAGTAAATTTAAAAAAAATATTTTTTTATCCGATAGAAAAGATGACAAAATTCATCTCAGTAAACAAGTACATGTCAGGACTTAAAGAAGAACTAGACCCATTCACATATTTGAATGTTTACTTCTACCATTTTGAAAAGTCTTCATTCAGCAAAGTTTGGAACATCGAACCAGTTAAGTTTGCTATTGTGACTAAAAATGTGCGAAATTTGAAGACTTAGACATAGAAGGTTTGTTAGCAGTCAAAGAAAATTTTGACAGAAGGTTCTCAAACCTTAAAGAAGGCAAAGCATACAAACTTGTTATACCTTATGAACCAAAGAAAGCAGACGACTATGAATATTATGAGTCTAAAGTTGTAGAAGTTCAAGGTAAATTGGGTAAAAAGATTTTAGAGTCTAAGCCAGTGTTTACTCCTAAAGAGGAAGAGAACATTGACATTGACCCAGAAATGTTCTAAAAATAAAATTTTATTTTTACATGTCAAATTTCTTTTTCTCTGGAACTGGTTCAGGTTCTTTTTTCTCTTCTTCTACTTTCTTTTCTTTCTTCTCTTCTACTTTTTTCTCTTTCTTTTCTTTCTTCTTCTTCTTCTCTGGTGGAGTTATGTCAAATTTCTCCGAACCATATTTCTGTAAAAGTTCTTTGTCCTTTAATAGCTCATCTATTCTGTTTTCTATTTCATCTTCAAGAACAGCGCATGTGTCTTCTTTGCATTCTAAGAAGTTTTGTTGGACTTCATCTCTCCAAGAGGCGTCATCTCTGTCAACAAGTCTGTCATTGACAAATTTTAAGACTTCTCTGCTTAATGTTTTATGGTTCTTGTCATATTCCCATAAACAGAACTTTAGAACAAATTCACCTTTCTTGTTTACACTATGTAAGATTTTATGGTCGACAGATGTTTTGCTGTCGAAAAGCTTGTCTCGAATATAGATAGCGAAATCGCTAGACATTTTCTAAAAGATAAAAATTTTAATTTTTCTAAAAATATGTTAGAAAAAAAGTTTGCTGACATTGACAAGAAATTTGAGAATGTTTTAAACAAGAACAAGAGGAAGTTAGAAAATGCTCAGATAAAACCTATACATGACAAGTTCTTATTTGCTCAGAATGGTATAACAGGTAATCGCACCACCTGGGTCGGGTAAGACTTTCACTTATCTTAAAATGGCTGCACAACAACAAGAACTAGATGAGAAGAACCCATTCTATGAGTTAGTTGTTATTTGTTCGACTTCTGGTCAATTTGACCAAACCGTCAATTCGTTCAAAGATATTATAAAGAAGTCTAAGTTAGTATGTATAAAGGATACTGAGTTGTTAGATTGGATAAAGAAGTACCAAAGAAGAGTTTTGAAGTATAATGCTATAAATGAGTATATAAATTCTAAGTTTAAAGACCCAAATGAGGAAATGCAGAGAATATTAGAGAAGAAACACTTCAGAAACAAACAGAAAGAGATAGAATACATTTCGAAGAAATTGCAATCTTACGATTGGAAGACATACCCTCATAGATGTCTTCTTATCTTAGATGATTTCGCCTCTCATCCTTTGTTAAAGAATAGAGAACAAGATATGTGTCGAATTCTTAAGAAACTTAGGCACTTTAACATCTCAGTTGTCATTTGTGTACAGACAGCAAAGAGTTTAAGTAAGGATGTTAAAAGAATACTTACTGACATTATACTTTTCCCCGGATTGTCCGAAGACGATTTCATGGAACTTATGAAAGAGTCCATGGCAGGTAAGTTTGACAGACATGAACTATGGGAGAAGTACAA